GTCCGGGCTTACGAAAGACAGCAGAAAGGTAAAGGTCCTGCCTTGGACTGAAATTTTCTCGGAGGACCTCGAATTTAGGCCGGCGGGAGTGAAACGGTATTCACCAGTTCGCGGTAGCGAATGCAGATCCCAGGGCTCGATCCCTAGATCCCCGTCTTACCTGTGCACAGTATGAGTGTCAACCCGTAGACTTGAACCTGCGACCTGTAGGAACGCCAGTGGTAGGCAATTTGTCGTAGGTCACGGGGTAGAGGGGAATCGAACTGTAGACCTATAGATTAGGAGTCTAGACAGTTCCGAAGTGGTAGCTGTAGGCTGCTTGAGGAGTCAAGGTCGTAGCTGCTACTTACCTGAAAGGGCAAAGTCATAGCTGCTACAGTACCGAAGGGCCAACGTAGAGGTTTCTAGAACTGGCCTTTCGGAGTTGGCCTGTGTTCAGCAGAGGCAAGTGGTCAAGTGGTGGTAGTCCACCTAGCCCAGTCAGCAGTCCCAGGTAGCCCAGTCCGGTCCAGTCAAGCAAGTACCGTCTGGGGATGTGCACATCATGGGCCAAGGGGTAGAGGGCAGACCAACGCACCGCAGAAGTATAAATCAAGAGGCTGTGTCCAGCCATTCATTCATTCCTGCGGATGCCATGCGGAAGCGCTGCCTCAGCAGCTTGTGCGAGGAGGTCTGCAGTGTGCCCGAAGACGAAGTGGGCAGAGAAGTGTAGTGCAGCGATAGGGTAGTGGCAGCTAGCGCTGCCATAGCCATAGCCTAGTGTGTGTGTGTTGTGTGTGAACACTCGAGTGTTGCGTGTGGGACATCCAGGGTGATCCAGAGTGCGAACAGTGAGTTGTGTGGGCGCTCAGTCGCCATAGCCAGTTTGAAGAGAACTCCTACCTGGTTACCATATCTTTGAGTACTGTGTGGGCGCATGTCGCCAGTTGCTGTTTCGCTGTTTGCGTGCATGATAAGTGTGAAGAAGTTCGGTCCAAAATTTTGTTGAGAAACGCTGTTGGTTTTTTTTGTCTGAGTTTTCTGCGCTTTTCTAAAGATTTGTGGTTCTGTAAAAGTCTATATCTTACGTACATCTGGCATATACGTTTTTTTTTATGGTACTATAAAGTCGTATAGACGAAAAAAAAGAAGGTATGTCCTTGTAGGCTTATACGTTTTTTCTGATGTTTTCTTTACCTGTTTTTGATGCACTAACCTTGCTGTGGCCATGTTCTGGTTTGAGTCAGAGTCACCTAGCTCATGTGGCTGAAAAAGCCGCTGAATGGTTTACACGACGTGTGAGTGTTACGAAACAGCTCACGAGTTTGAGTCCTAATGGGATTAGATGGATACAATAAGATTAGGGTTTACCCCTTCAAAAAAGAAAAAGAAAAAAAAAAGCAACATTTTTTTGCCATTTTAAGATCTATTAAAAATGATTTGAGTCAACAGATAGGGACCTACCTGCAAATAGGAAGCTTTGATGGACAGGACCAAAAGTTAGCAAAAGCACTCCGCCCGTGTGTGTGTTTATCGGAGGCTGAAAGGCAAGGTACCTTGAAATTTCAGTCGCTGGCCAGGGAGCCACATCCTACCCTCTTTCCTCGAACATAACACACCATGATTATGAATGTATACGCAGGCTTATCACCAGCCTCCTATTGATTAGCAGGCAGTCAGAGGGGTATGGCCGAGAGGCGGAAATGCACCCTTACAGACCTTCCCATTGGACTTGACCACACTGAGTATACTGGTCCCTATAAATCAGCAGCCAAAGACTCATGGCACACCTTCATAGGCCATCTGAGGGAGAGAGAGACTCCCGTTTCAACCGTGAGGTAATATAAGAGACCCTAATACGATTATATACATATTTTTTAGACCCTAGATGATTTCTCTCTAGAGTCTAACCAATTTCTTACAAAGGTGTGCTGCAGCATCAACCAAAGACTGGTGTTGTATCCGCCATGCAATCGGTTTTTTGCTTTCTTTTTTGAAGGTTTTTTCCTTCTTCTCTCTCTCTCTAAATACGCCCTTCCTGCTGACACAATCGTAGTAGTTCAAATGACCGCACATTATTTCCCCGTCAGCAAGCTAAGTCAAGCCTTGCCAAAGTTGGTTAATGAAAGCTACATGCTCGTTTAATAAAGTTATGGGAAGGCGCTCGGAGAGAAAACAAAGTGAGCACAAATGACAAGGCATTGTTCGGTGTGGACAGCACACAAAGCGAGCACAAATGAGAAGACATTGTTTGGTATAGACAGCGCACCTTTGCTTCAGCTGCTCTCCGACTCAAGGAATTGTAACCGTCATGTTTGCTGAACAAATGGTTTTGCAGTGACCCATATCCTTTAAAGGTTTTTCCACAAGAGAGACATTTCACCTGTAATGAACCAAGCACAAACACACAAAGCACATAAATGTGCATTAAGTCGGTTAGACTATACCTTTATGATCGTTATCTCGCCTCGTAGGTGCCTCGCTGAACATTCTGTTAATCCCTGCATCCTTGCTCAAAGAAAAACTGAGCCCTTTTTTTTTTCTTTTTTTTCCTTTTTTTTTAGGGGCAAAATGAGTGTCTTCCAATTCAATTGAATTGGATCCGTATTCACCAAAACACGTAGATGTCACTGGATTAATCAGGCCGCAAACGCACAAAAAATGCCATAAGACATCACTGGACTAATCGCCCGTTAAGCCCCTCAAACTATCCACCAAGAGCTCGGTGCGCCCTCCCACGCACAACACCCATGCCTCCCCCCCCTCCCATTTATCGACTTCCTGCAGTGGCCCAATCTTTAACCCTCCGCAAACGTCTCCTCCTCTAGTCCCCCTTTCTGCGGAATGAGCATCCCTCCGTCAATAAAAGTTGGCTCCCAAAGGACCACAGAGCACAACAGTCTGAGAGTGACTGAAGGCAGTGGTGATGCTAAAGCAGCCCTGGCATTTCACATCCATGAAGAACTGGGCTTTGCACAAGCCTTTCAGCTTGTCCTTCTTCTTTTCCGAGTCCGCGGGCGGATGCAGCAGATCGAGAGCGCCATAGCCGAAGCTTGCTGAACTGACACAGAGCAGCACGACGAGGCAAACAGCGCTCACACCAGTACCCGCGCTCATGCAACCTGAGTTCACAGCCGACTCACAGCTGACCCACAAAGCCGAACCCTTTTTTTTTTTTTTTTTTTTTTTTTTTTTTGACAAAACAGCAGCTCGGGCTGCTATTGGGGGTGGTACGGGCATCCCTCAATAGCAACCATCTGCCCTCAGCTCCAGTCTATTGGTGGGGAGCATCACCTGCTGGAAACCGGGTCCAGCATCCCATTGCAAGACTTGATGCACAACATTACAGCAGATACAGAGTTGCGCACATGGCAGCATTGATTACCCTGTTGCCAGGGGATTGACTGCCAGTGGCTCAAAAAAACTAAGTCCTGCTGAGGCAGCCTGAGGCCGGTCTCTTCAGCCTCTCAGGCCACCAAATTGACAGATTTATCTCTGGCCGTCAGTGTCAGCTGCCTCCATGGCACTGCATATCCACCATTGACAAGCTGTGGGCTGGAAACAGATCTGGAAACTCCGAGGGGGGTCACAGAGGAATTGCGGTGTCCACTTTGGTCCAGTCCTTAAAGACGATATTGTAGTCCCGGCGAAAAGCCCCTTGACATGTGACTGGCTGATTTCCGCTGTCCCATTGGATGTAGGCTATTCCGCCGCCTTGCTCACACCCCAGCCAATCCTCTGAGAAACGCTCGGTTGTCCGTGTTATATCATTCTTCGTCTGAAAAAGATCAAGTTGCGCTTTCACTTTCGTCCATTGTGAACCCTGTGTTTGACAAATGAAACATTTTTTCTCACAACTGCATGTAGCCCCTAACCTCTAACGTTATTTTATCTACCTGATTCCACGAATTTCCATCAGAATTTGAACATATGAGTCCTCCGAGACATCCGTTTAAATTGGAACGATATAGAGAATGATGGCACGCATACATTGAGAAATGGTCCAAATTATGTATTCAAAAAAACAAATGAGCATACGATATGTTCATCGATAGTTACATGTGTGTACCATTCAGCCACATGGGTTGGGTATTACACATGCCTTCTTTCCCCATTCAGTCACTTTCCTGTGCTATGCTGCCATAATACAGAACATAATCCTTACAATCACAAGACATGATGTGGCATGCACGGACCTCCCACACGGGCCCTGAGGGGGCCAACTTAGGGCAGCACGACCCTCATTTTGGTGCCACCTTAGGCCAGTAGGCACACTTTTGGCCTTGCACGTTTTCCTGAGTGCTGCATGAGTTATTTTTGTCCTGGTACAGCCGATTAGCTCAGTGGGTAGAGCACCGGTTGGAAATGTGCACTGTGGCTTGAGGTTGTGGGTCCAAAACTCTGCAGCCTTGCGCATGCACACTGGCGGACGTTGACCGACGCACGGCTGGACTCATCCAGCATGGATGGGTTCCATTTAATTCAACTTGGATGGACTCATCCAGCATGGGTGGGTTCCATGTTTATTTTTTATTTTTTTTGTTTTTTTTATTTGTTGGTGGGTTCCATTTATAACCGAGCGCAGGCACCAAGTTGCGATCCCGCCAGCCACAAAGCGGAGGCAAGTCCCGGTCAACACAGCGGCTGTCCATTTGGTGGGTTCCATTTAATTCAACTTGGATGGACTCATCCAGCATGGGTGGGTTCTATTTATAACTGAGAACTGGCACGAAGTGGCTATAGATGATGGTAACTGCTACCTTCTTCCCCCGAATACAACGTACGGTCATTATAGCCGTATTTAGTCTGAATGACAGCCCAAATACAGCTATAATGACCGTACGTTGTATTCGGGGGAAGAAGGTAGGTTTGGCATCTTCTGTTCTGTTTGAAGAACAAACAAATATGTCTGCCATCGTTCAGTGTTTCATTCTTTTAAACCAAAAAATCTTGTGAAAAAAAAGACAGGGTGAAAGACCAGACAAGACATTGAGGGGGAAAGAAGTAGATAAGCAGGATAGAAAGGGGCAGAACAAGGAAAACACAAAGTCAAAAAAAAAAAAAAAAAAAAAGGGGGCAGAGTGCAGACATGGCCAAGCCAAGGAGGCACGTACGAGATCAATGACAGAACAGGACAGAGGGGGAGAAAAGGAGAGAGGCAGCAAAGAGATTTAGACTGCGAAAAGACAAGAACAAAGGAAAACAGAAAGCTCACAGGGCACCCAATCCATATTGCAGCATTATACACACACGTAAATTATTATTATTAGTAAACAGAAGATCGTGAGTCTGAATCCTGATGGAATCAGGTGGATAGTGTACCAGCTTTTTTGAAAGGGGGAGGGAAAAAAAAAAACAAAAAAAAAAAACAAGGAACCCATGAGGAAGTCGTTCAGGATGATTCAGAGAAGATTACCACGGCCTCTGCGCAAGAAAAAAAACAAGGCAAAAGGAAAGGAAAGCCCACAAGGAGTGCCAGGAGAGCAAAGGGAAGAGAAAGAAAGGGTATTGCAACCCACCAGTCTATGTGCATCCAGAGGGCTCTTTTGAGCTTCTGCCACCGATCTTTTGAAAACTGCATCTTGGTCTTTCCTTTTTGTGGTACTCGCTGTGCCTTCTCCTCTTCGTGTGTTAGACTGACATTCAAGAGACTGCACTCTGCTGCTGCCACCACCAACATTGTCCCTTGGCAACGCAGTATTCGAGGGCCTCAAAATATCATCATCAGGTGGGGTAATATCAGCCAAACACGTGGCGTCAAAGTATCGAGTGCAGGGTGCAGCTTGTGACGATGTGAGCCATTCTGTCCGTGCTCCCTTCGCAGTATTCGAGAGCCTCAAAGTATCATCAGCAGGTGGGGTAATATCGGCCAAACACGTGGCCACGTTGAGCCGCCGCGCACCCATTTCAGACCGCCGTGACATGGTTCTTTCCTCAGCCAGCGAACAAGACGAAGAAGCAGCAGCATCTGCGGTGCCCTTCCCAGAGGATCGGGAAGACAAGCAGGTGCTGCGCGTCTTTTCTTCCACTTGCAACGTCTTGGAGCTGCCAGCCTTTGTCTTCTTCTGGTTCCCACTGCCGTTCTCATCACTGTTGAAGCTCTGGTTGTTGTGACTGCGGTTCTGGTCATTAGTTTTGTTATATCTCGCCCTAGGGAATCTACAAGAAGCTACACCATCCCCTTCCGCGGGCCTCAACATATCACCACCATGTGGGGCAATATCCGCCCAATACTTAGGCAGATTAGGCCACCGTGCCCCCGTTTGTGATCGCTGTGCAATTGTTTCCTCAGCCGGGGAACGGGGCGAAAAAGCAGCAGCATCTAGAGTGCCCTTCCCAGAGGAGCGGAAAGAACAGCTGGCGCTTCGGCTCTTTTCTTCCAATCCCACCTTCTTGGATCTCCCTTTGCCAGCCTTTTCCTTCGCCTTCTTCTCACTATCGTTCTGATCAGTATTGACGTTCCAGTTGCTGTGCCTTCTGTCCTCGTCATTACCTTCCTTACATCTGGCTGTAGGGAATCTACAGGAAGCGACGCCCCTCCCTTCCTTGTCATCGGTAGATGCCATTGACTGGTTCTGGGACCAAGGACGTCCCTTGCACACCTCAGCATCATCCGTTGCAGAACCAGTTGGATTCCCAGAGCCAGTCTCAGAAGAAGTTACATTCCCAGAACCAGTAGGTTTCCCAAACCCGGTCAGATTCTCAGAACCGCGTTCTTCCAGCTCTTTGACGATAGTCGGAACAGGATTTCTGATGACGTCCGCCCAAGATTTGCCTTGCACTTGCACTGCCGTTTTCTCCATCTTTTTTTCCTCCCTTCTTCTCTCTTCTTCTTAGTACTTCTTAACCTGAGATCTGTTTCTTTGCACCGCTAAACCGTTCAGCCATGGATATTCCCTATCCTTCTCTCTTCCCGATTGCCATGCATTGACTGATCTGCCACAGAATGGTTTTGCAATGCGTCCTCTCTCCTCCCCCCTCCCCGACCCCCGTTCAACGATTCCTCATTCCTCCCCGCCGATCGGATTGTTCTCGAATCCGGCGAGGGCGTGCCTCCACCTTGCGCGCCCTCCCCCGCTCAACCTGCGCCCGACCTCCTCGACTTCTCTCCCTTTTCCCGCCCTTCACTTACACCCCGCTGCTGCGCCCGACCTCCCCGACTCTCTCTCTCCCCGTTCCCCCCGATCTCCCACCATTCAAGCGCACTTCTCCCCACCCGCTTCCCCGCTGCGCCTCCCGCTCCTCCTGCCGACTACGCTCTCGCGGCGCCACTCCTCTTCCCACCGCCGCCCATCGCTGCTGTTCCCCCCGCTCTTCTTAATGCGCGCTCCCCCGGTGCACACCCCGTTCCCGAACGCCTCCTCCCCCCACTGCGCGCCTCCCTCACGCGCACGTTCGCGCGACTTCCCCGCGGCGCACCTTCCCCACCCTCCACGGATACACGATTTCCCCCAACTTCATTCCACCCCGGTGCCGACAGAGACTCCCCCCTCGCCGATCGATTTTCCCCCGACTACTCTCGATCCGCGCGCCTCCTTCCTCAGACGCGCCCGTACAAATACTTCCCCGCTCTCCTTCTTCCCCGATTCGCCCACTTCACCCGCTCCCACAGGCGATTCGATTCCAATCCCCTTCCTCCGCCCGCTGCGACCTCCCCCGATCGATTGCACCCGGCTTTAATAATTTAACCCCATCTCTACTGATTCAAGCGAACACCATCGTCAGCGGGGGAGTTCGGCCGGCGCGAAGCATCTGCCCACGCAGGTACACCCATCGATCCTCGACCGTTTCCGGATATGAAGCCGGAGGTCATTCATGGCGACGTTGCATTTTGATCCTTCGTTCGTCGAATCTTCCCTATAATCGTGAAGCAGACTCCACCAAGTGTTGATTTGTTTGATCACCAACAAGAACGTACGCTGCGATTAGACCACACCATCATCATCATCATCATCATCATCATCAAGAAGAGTCATCTAATTAGCGACGCGGATGATTGGATTAACGAGATTTCCCTCTGCCAATCATCACTGACGGGTCATCATCGTGGACATTGCTGGAGATCATCAACCCGGCTTTCCCCATCGCCTATATTGACAAGCTATCATCGTTGTTGTCCTCAAGCATCATCTCACACGCGATTCTTCTGGTGACCTCGCCGTTTCAATGGGTCAACGAGGGAACGATCAAGAAGGCCCTTTAGACTTGATTGAAGACCTTCCTACACTACCCGAGGAAGGTACTCACCCAATTTAATTTCAATTAAGGATCTAGTTCCTAAGGCGAGCGGCTCGACTGACTCCAAGTCGTATTGACTGGATCTAGCATATGCAGATGGAAAGGGCAGATGTATGACGCTTCGCTTCGGCCTGCCGCTGATGCTCCGGGGTAAAATTAGTACCTCTCTCTCCCGTTTTCGGTAACCCCTCCACCTACCCATCACCAGTTCGCCTCTGTCAGCCACTCCATCTCTCCTCTCTCATTTACCTTGATTACCCGCCTCTTCCAAATTTTCTGACGTGCAAACCGCGCAGTTCCTTACTGCGTGCTCAATTGATCGGCCATTCGATCGGCCTGCTTGACCATCATAGGATTAATCTCACTCGATGAAATTAATTTCGGTGAGTCACACGAATTTATTTATTTTTCGTTATTCTGAAAGGATGTCAAGTCTCAGTCATATCCCCAGTCCTGTGGTCGCAGTCCCCAGTACACCTACGGCAAGGTCCCACTTGTGCAAATTAGGAGATTTCGGCCGTTGATATTTGCTATCTACGGTCAGTATCTCTTAATTCGTTGAAGTGGGACCTGGCAGCGTGTAGGGTTGCGGTTATACAGCTGAGTCATTTTCGTCGTTTGGTTTTTGTCATTTCGTTATACGGGTCGTTTGTTTGTATTTTTGTTTTTCTTTAACTAATCTATATCTTTTTTTTTCTTTTTTTCTTTTTTGGGAAAAGGTAAGGAATCCATTATCATGAAATCATGAGGCCGGGAATTCCTCACAAACAACCCGGAAGAGGACCGACGACTCTGGGACCATTACCCAGAATTGGTAGGTTAGTATCGAGTCCTTCGTTACTTGTTTCTCCCTTGGTGGTTGCCCAGGCTTAGGGGGACGTGGTCCATCCTGACGGTTTAGTCAGGACTCCGTGGGGAGTTACCCCGGGTAGGCAGGTAGGTTAGTATAGAGTCCTTCGTTACTTGTTTCTCCTTTGTTGGTTGCCTGTGGTGTTTTGATGTGTGTTTCTTTTTGTCTTCTGGGTTGGCGTTAGCCATACAGTCCTTGTTATAAGCCTCTGCCTAGTGTTGTTGGGTATAACCTAACTAATCTATATCATTCTCTCAATCTTGTTTTGTATATATGGGCCTCGTTAGACCCTCCTTGGAAATCCGATTTTTAGCCACCCTAATTCACCAAATTCCTTGAATGAATGTGAAAAAGCTCCCGAGAGATTTCCTTGGGTTCCTTGGAATCCCCAGCCATACCGTCCTTGGATACAAGGGGTCCTGACGAGGTCCCTTGGGTTCTTCAGCTGCAAGGCGCTTCACGAAGTGTTTCCTTGCGCGCAACGCCAGCCGTGGTGTCCAACGGTCGAATTTTTTAATTTTTCTACAGGCGATGTTGAAGCACTGTCAGCCGATTGCAGTCATCTGCCTAGCGTGTTTTGTCGGCCATTGTCGGGTGCATTGATGCAAGCTTTGTTTGGTACACGCCTCACGTGTAGCCATTCATGACAGATGTCCTTCGGCGGTTCCCGCTCCTGCTGCTGGCCACTATTCTCCTGCTCCTTGTCGTGCTCGTGACGCCCAACCTCACGCCCGGCGCGACTTCCTGATCGGAGTGGGATGTGACGAACTACTTCCCGAACCCGTGCTATCTTTCGTACCCCTTTGGTTTGAATTTTTCTTGTATCATACCGACCCCGTTTGATTTCTTGATTTCGGGCGCCGCATTTTGTGCCCCTATCTTCCGGAAGCTTTTGTGATTCTTCGGTTCTGCTTTTTCTTTTGCAAGTCGGGAAATGCATAGGAATTTACGCGCGCCTTAGCGAGCGCATTGGGAATTGGGCCCGGCAGTTGGGAATTCTGGGATAAGCGGAACTTCGACGTGTCCTTTTTGTGTGTGAATGTTCTCGGTCGCGTTGGGGAAAACTCTCGGAATTTTGCGAGGCCACGAATAGGCGTAGGACTTTCTTTTCCCGCGTCAACCCTTTTGCGCGCGGATATGGTGATTTCAATTTTGAATTGGTTTAGGCCATAGGCAAGCTGTAACTGTTTCGGTGCCTTTTTCTTTTTATTTTTGTTGACGGCGCCACGCATACGAAGCTTTCTTCTCTCCACCCCCCCCGCTCTGTTTCCCGCATCGTTCTCTCCCTCGCTCTTTTCTCCTTCCCCCCTCCCTTCTCGCAACTGTTTTCCCTCTCCCTCCCGCTCTGATCAATTGCGCGCCCATTTCCCTTTCTTGATCATCTGAATCTTGGACCCGTCTCGCGCTGCTTTTCGCGCCTCGTCTCTTCTCGCTCATCAATATTGGCTCCGATCACCCCGGCTCACCAATCAGACGCGTTGAGTAGGAGGAACTTCTTGCTACGCGACGAATCTAATTGGTCGACCATTGGGCTCGGAAGGATCAACATGGCTTCCGTAGCGCCCTCCTCGCCAAGTCTTCTCCTCCTGCTTCTTTTCTTACACCTCGATTTTCCCCCTGCCTTCTCTCTCCCTCGCCCCCCTTCTCGCCACTATAAATTCCGCAAACGCGCCCGCAAATCTCTCTTACGTTCTCGACTCCCAAGCCAGCTTCCGGAAAGCAGTGGCTAGGTAGAGTGTTTGTGCGAGTCGGAAAGTCCTGACGGGCTGACGATAGGCTGGCCGGTTGCGCGCTTGATCGCCACGACGGACTGTGGGATCCAGACGAACCGCGTCGAGTTTCCCTTCTCGCCACTATAAATTCCGCAAACACGCCCGCAAATCTCTCTTACGTTCTCGACTCCCAAGCCAGCTTCCGGGAAGCAGTGGCTAGGTAGAGTGTTTGTGCGAGTCGGAAAGTCCTAACGGGCTGACGATAGGCTGGCCGGTTGCGCGCTTGATCGCCACGACGGACTGTGGGATCCAGGCGAACCGCGTCGAGTTTCCCTTCTCGCCACTATAAATTCTGCAAACGCGCCCGCAAATCTCTCTTACGTTCTCGACTCCCAAGCCAGCTTCCGGGAAGCAGTGGGTAGGTAGAGTGTTTGTGCGAGTCGAAAAGTCCTGACGGGCTGACGATAGGCTGGCCGGTTGCGCGCTTGATCGCCACGACGGATTGTGCGATCCAGGCGAACCTCGTCGAGTTTACGTCGGCGGGGTGATGATCGCAGTGGTGGGAGTTAGCACGCGACGGCAGGGATCGTCGGTGCGGGTATGAGGATCGATGATTGGAGTTGAGTGGGTGATTGGCCCGGGGCCATATTGGAATTCACGGCGAATGCGCCTTTATTGATTGCGGATCTTTATCTCTGGCGTGAGTGTACGGCGGCAACGCCGAACTTCCTCTTTTCGGATCTTGTCATCTCCTATCTCGATATTCCTCCCTCGCCTCTCTCTCTCTCTCTCTCTCTCTCTCTCTCTCTCTCTCTCTCTCTCTCTCTCTCTCTCNTCTCTCTCTCTCTCTCTCTCTCTCTCTCTCTCTCTCTCTCTTTGAATGACGATGTGTCTTGATGCTTGTCCCTCTCAGGAATGGGAATGAATTTGTGTGCTCTCTTGTGTGAAGGAACTTCTTCCGGAACTCTTCCATTAGTTTCCTGGGTAATCCCCGGATATCGAGGAATTGATCATCTTGTCTTGTGATCGGTGGATGCGTGTATACAATTCCCTTGGTT